AAAAAAAATTACAGTCAGTAAGAGGAGTCGAATAATTTGAATCTTGAGCACTTTTAAACAAATGTAGCTTACGCTCTTGATATTATGTTAAAACTAATAATAATAATATTTGGACGAGAAAAATGACTAATGAACACTGCAACTGTTTCTTTTTGTTAAATATGCAACGTTTGAACGTTGTCTTTTCTATAAACATACCTGAACCTGAGTTAGTAGCAGTTTTACGCAAAAAGTGTTATCGCTTTTTTAACTTCATTTTATGTCAATTTAAAAAAATCAAACGAAAACATGTTTTGAATTTTTTGCAGTATAAAAGTAAAAGAACTTCGACTGTTTTGTTAATAAGAGAATCTTAATACACTAAATACCATCTGCCACAGTTGAAGCCGTGTCAGATAATTTAATTTAAAATCTTAAATAATATTTTTTAAATATTGAAGATTTTTTTACTAACCTGTCAACCAACCGTAGAAATTAATTATCAGACAGAACTAGATTTTTTCGTATAATTTATACAGGGCATTAAAAAAAGATTATAAATTATTTAAAGAGGTAATAGTTTGGACCAAAATAAACAAAAAAGTCTTAATAACCATAAGTGCGCAAAGTAACGGTTTCGGAGATATCGAATGTAAAACATTTTAGAATTTCTACTAGAAGCTTCTCTTTTTTGTTTGGAGAAACTGCAAATAAATGTTTCAAAAAACTAATAATTTTCGAATATCTCCAAAACCGTTACTTTGCGGACTCATATATGTTTATTAAACTTTTTAGTTTGTTTTGCTCCATTCTTTTACCTTCTGAAGTATTTTACAATCTTTTTTAACACGTTGTATTTGCTATTTCATTAAAAAAATCATTAGAGAAGCCGCATTACTTGGCTCTTGAGCATTTTTATACAAATGTAGTTTATGCTCTTGATATTATGTTGAAATTAAAACTCTTGGTGGAATATTTGGGCGAGAAAAATGACTTTATTGTTGGATACTTCGAATCTAATTCAAATTAAAAGTTCAATTTCATTGAATACCTACAAAAAATGAAAGGGAACTCGACTGTTTAGAGGTAGAAAAGATACACTTTCCTACCTTGTAATATAAATAACTATTAATTTCTGTTTTTATCACGTGAAGAGAATATTTAAAAAAAAAGGAAATAATTCAATTTTTTAAATAGACTTGAATTTATGTTATAATAAAAATGTATTTAAAAGTTTCAGCATCTGAAAAAATTGCAAAGTAAAATGATCTATAAAAGACTTACAAATCGTATTCAAAATTTGCATCACAACACAACAAAATCAGTTTAGATGATGAAAGTGTGATTATCAGAAAATACAACAGAAAAAATTCCTTAAAAGACTAAAAAAAGTTGAGAGAATTGGTATGTAGTTGTGTGGCGAAGTTTATTTAATATTAAAAAAAAAAGCATGTGACGAACTCGAAAAAAAGCTTAATGACAAATCTAGCGAATAAAAAGGAACAAAACTTATGAAAATTGACTTTATTTTAAATGTTGTACATATTATACATAATACAATAATGCCATTTTTATGTGCATGTTTTGTTTATAAGAGAATCTGCCATAGTTGAAGCCATGGGAATCCCGTTTCAGATTATTGAATTCTTATATTCAATTTTTTTAATATTGAAGATTTTTTTGAATAATTATCAACAACTCAACTAAATCGTCCATAACTCAATAATCGCCATAAACGGAAAAACATGGTGCTAGATTTAATGGCGAAACTGGGATATCAGCGAAGAAAAAATATAATTTCTTCCCTTGTAACACAAATAACTATTAATTTCTGTTTTCATCATGTGAAAAAGAATATTTGTTTCGAATTTCTAAAAGTATTAAAAGTAAAAAAACTTTTGTTGTTCTGTTTATAAGAGAATCTGCCACAGTTGAAGCCATAGGAGTCCCGCTTCAGATTATTGAACTTAACAAAACTCTAATATTCGATTTTTTAATATTGAGGATTTTTTTTGATTAAATTGTCAACAACTCAACTAAATCGTAAAGAGAATGTTTTGTTTTTTTAGAAAAAAATCATCAAACAAAACATATTTGTTTGAAATTTTTTGTAGTAGGTATAAAAGTAAAAAAACTTCCGCTGTTTTGTTAATAAGAAAATCTTATACACAAAATACCATCTGGCACTGAAGAGCCAGACTCGTGTCAGATTATTGAACTTAAAATTCGATTTTTTTAAATATTGAAGATTTTTTTTTACTAATCTGTCAACCAATCGTAGACAGCTTTTTCTGGAAATGAATTATCAAAAAGAACTAATTTTTTTCGTATAATTTATACAGGGTGTTAAAAAATATTGTAAAATATTTCAGGAGGCAATAGTTTGGACCAAATAAACAAAAAGTCTTAATAAACATGGGTCCGCAAAGTAACGGTTTTAGAGATATGGAATGTGAAAATTTTTAGAATTTTTTCGACATACAGTTTATGTCCCCGGATTAAATTTACAAGAGGAATTTTTTTTATCTTTGATTTTAGGCCAAAACTCCAAAAGAAAAACATTTTTTGTTTCACCTGAAACGAGCAAATCTATAATTAAAACTTCGATATTTTGCCTCAGTGGAAAAAAAAGTTCATTTTTCCCTCGTTAGGAGTTATAAAGCAAAGAAAGATTATTCAATCCAAAAATGAACTTTTCTTCCTAATGAATTTTTATTAGAAATTTGCTCGATTCAGATGAAGCAAAAAATGTTTTTCCTTTACAATTTTGGTGTAAAATCAAAGATAATTTTTTTCCTATTGTAAACTCAATCCGGGAACATCCTGTAGAAGCTTCTTTATTTTGTTTGAACAGATTGCAATAAATGTTTTAAAAAACGAATAATTTTCGATATCTCCGAAACCGTTACATTGCGGACCCAAGTTTATTAAGACTTTTTTGCTTGATTTGGTCCATACATTTACCTTCTGGAATATTTTACAATCTTTTGTTAATACCCTGTATTTGCAATTTCATTAAAAAATCAAATGCTTATATCAGTAATAAGGGGAGTCGAATAATTTGCATCTTGAGCAATTTTATACAAATGTAGCTTACGCTCTTGATATTATGTTGAAATTAAAACTCTTGGTGGGATATTTGGGCGAGAAAAATGGCTTTGTTGGATACTTCGAATCTATTTCAAATTAAAAGTTGAATTTCATTGAATACCTACAAAAAAATAAAGGGAACTCTACTGTTTAGAGGTAGAAAAGATACACTTTCCTTCCTTGAAATACAAATAACTATTAATTTCTGTTTTCATCATGTGAAAAAGAATATTTAAAAAAAAAGATATTTCAATTTTTTAAATAGACTTGAATTTTTGTTATAATAAAAATGTGTTTAAGTTTAAGTAGAATCGTCTATAAAAGACTTACAAATCGTATCCAAAACAAGAGAACCGCAAAGAAGATATTTTAGACGAATTGGTCGAGTTAACGCTTAAGGAAAAATAAAATCAGTTTACGACACAGAAATTGTAATGATGAAAGTGTGGAACTGCAGGATTTTCAGAAGATGCAAAAGAAAAAATTCCTTAAGACTAAAAGATTCAAAGTTGAGACACAATTGGTATATAAGTACATACGTTGTGTGGCGAAGTTTATAATAATATAAACAAGCAGAATGTGACGAACTCGAAAAAAAGCTCAATCACAAATCTAAAGAAAAAAAAGCAAAAATTATGGAAAGTGACTATTTTAAATAAATTATTATTACACAATATTAGAGATTAATATATTAACAATATATAACTTACATTGATAAGAAGTAACATAAGAAGTTATACATATACCGTATTTAATTAATAAACTCCCACCTTTTTTCTATCCCATTAAGTCCTTACTGGAAACTTCTTTCAACTTAAAATACATCAATTTTTGTCGCACAATAGCATTCATTTTTGACAAAATACGTGACAAAAGTTAAAAAGTTATTCTCAATACTCTTACCGAGCACCTCAAAACGCCGATAATTTTTTTGAACTTAAAAATAGAAACCGTTATGGCCATTCTCTCTTAAAACCAAAGAAAAGTGAAAAGGTTGCCTCTTCCCTCTTCATTCTAATCAAGAATAGCCTAACACATCACTAAAAAAAAATTTGAAGTGCTCTTCCAGAATATAGGTAATTTGACTAAAAACTTTTTTACACAGTAAAATCCAGGCTTTTGCGTTTTTTTTAAATTTCGTCACATATTCTAAAAAAGTTGTAAAAGTGACTAGAATTAACAGTTTAAAAAATTAACCAACAATGTAATTTTTTTAAAGCATTATCATGTTTTAATAGCGTGAGCACCACGTGTAAGTACGACGAATCGAATAAAATATATAAACAGGATGAAAATATAATACAATATAATTTTAATATAAAAAAGTAAAAAACACATTTTAAGCATCTCAGATGGTTTTCTTAACAACTCATAAATAATACTCTCTAAATTTGAAAAATATCACAGTAAAGAAAACTTTTAGTTACTCCAAATACGGATATTTTTGGTATTTATACGATTTTTTTGGAAATTTTGCAAATACAATTCCTCATTATTATCAACTCCCGGACTTTTGAAGTCCGGGACGCTGATTCGGATTGCATTAAGTTGATAATCCATTCCGTGTCACCGGAATTCTCATTAAATACTTAATTACTATCTGCGACGCTTAAAAATATGTCTTCTAAAGACATTTGATTGACGATGTAGTCGTCAATACAAGAAAATTCCGTTTTGAAACTTTCAAGTGTTGTAAATAATCCACTCAATCGTTTACTTTCATCTTTTACTTGGTACACCAACGATCCCTACAAAAAATTATAAATTCGCCTAAGTAACTTACGAAAATATTATATTCACCGCATATTCTTCAAGCAATATCGCCTTCAGATGTCTGGAAAACATATCCTTAAGTGAATCAACGTCTTGTTCCGATCTTAATTTGATTGTAATTTTGTAACCCTTGTTGTATCGGTTTTTCAACTCCACAAGACTTCCTTGATCCTTTATTGTGCCTTCCTTCATAATCGCAATTCTAAAAATAATGTTACTTTCACGTCCTTACCAACCATTAAAACACTTACTCGTCGCATAAATTCTCACACTCTTCCATGCTGTGTGAACAAAGCAAAAACGAGGTGTTGTCTTTCTCCTTAAACGAATTTATGATCTTCCAAAAGTTACGTCTGCTAGATGGGTCCACCCCACTGGTGGGTTCATCTAACAATATAACTTCAGGCGACCCTAAAAACGCCAAACAGGAGCACAATTTGCGTTTGTTTCCACCACTGTAGTCCGAACAAGGCTTGTCCTGGTACTTTTCCAGCTCTGGAAGCGATTTAGAATAGTAGAAAAAAAATTATTACTTGCAGTCGAGCAGCTGACTTAAATTTTGTACACCATACAACTTTATCTTTTTGTACATCCAGTGAGTTGGTAAAGTCCATTATTGACATTTCATTGTTAAAATTAAAAAAATATATATATATTAAATGGATAAATACTAAACTAGTGGAATTATTTTCAACTATACAGCGTGCCTCAAAAATAAGTTACAATACAAACTTATGTTTTTTTAAGCACCATAATATGGTGTTTATTATGTTTCTTGACATTACTGGATGTAGCTTTTTTGCAACTAAACTTCTATTGGTCGATTTTGCTTAGTTTTTAAAATAAATTGTTTCTTTTGATAAAAACAGACTTAAAAAAATTACACAAAAACTAAGATAGCTAAAAAAAAATTTACAACTGCAAAAAAAATGTACAAACTTTAAGATTATAACAATTTTGTAGTGTGCACACTTTTACAGATAAAAAATTAAGAAGTTGAAAGTTAAATAACTTAAAAAATCTAAATGGAAGACTCTATTTTTTCTCTCGGCATCTAAAAGATTATTAAATAAAACTTTTTTTTTCTGTCAGAAAAAAACATTATTTGCTTACAACTTGGTATTTTAAAATTTATAAAAGTTTTAGGACCTCAGTTGACTGCCCCCAAAGTTTTTATAAATATTAAAAATTTAAGGTGTAAGCAAATGTTCTTCTCTGACAGAATTTTTTTTTACTTTTTAGTACATTTTTCTAATAAAAGCTTATACTGTGACATCAAAAATTATCTTGGTCAAAGGTAATCATGGAATGGAAAACGTCTGTCGTTGCTTATTTCATCCTTTTAAAATAATTCCATCAAAATTTGACTCACTGATATTGATATAACCTACAATTATTTTAAAATCCAAGACCACCCTTGACCAAGATAATTTTTGATCTCATGGTATTTAAAAATCGTTTTTTTTTACATATTTTTTTACTTTTTAGTCTATACCTATTGTTTTGTGAAATCATTTAAGTTTACTTTACTTGATTTGTTTTTTTTTATTTTTTAATTTTTTTAATTGTGTTTTCGTTTTTTGTCAATGTTTTCCTTTTTTTGATTTTTGAACTGTTTTAATTTTTGTTTTTTTTTTGTTTTAGGGATTCTTTTTGTATTTTTTTAATTTTGATTCTTTTTATTTTTTGATTTTTTTAATTTTTGAGCAACCCGATAGTTTTTTTCCTGCTCTATCGAATGGCGTTGATTCCATCTTTATATTCAACTAGCTTGCACCCGTGACTTCGTCCACGTAGATTTTCGATATAAATTGTTGTTGTTTCTTAAAGAAGAAATGTGAAGTTAGTCTGTTTATCCATTTTTTTCTTGATTCATCAACTCAAAACAACGCGATTTGGCTCAATTTGAAGTTGAGAATCAACCTGAATCCTTTGTTAGCGGACCTCTACACCTTCTAAGAAACATATCTGCCAAATTTCATGTTTCTAGCTTCAGTGGTTTAGGCTGTGCGTTGTCTGTCAGTCAGTCACGGAACTCTTTTATATATATATAGAAGATTAGAGACCAAGATATTGATAATTGTTTAAAACTGTTGTTAATTATTGTTTATATCTCCAGCTGCTTGCAGTTGAAAACCTACCAAAATATTTCAACAAATCCTTTGTGATTTCCTGTGCATCTGCATCGGAATAGCCCTTCAAGCGAGCAACGGAGTAGACAACTTCTTTACCGGTTAGGAAATAGTTCAAGTAATCCTCCTGAGGGCAGTAGCCGATTTTCTCCATGTACTAAAAAAAATACAGTGAGCAAATAATTTTCTTCAAATTAGATTATATTTTTAAAAAAACAAATACTCACATCATCTCGTTTGATGGGTACTTTATCTAGTTCAACGTCACCTTCATCAAAAAATAACGATTTTGTTAAAATACGGAATGTGGTGGATTTGCCAGCACCGTTCACACCCAACAACCCAAAACATTTGTTCTTTTTCAGTTGCAACATTAAATCTTTCACTACAACTTTTGGACCGTAAGTTTTTCGTAATTTTTTAACGACTAGTGTTTCAGCTTCGCTTGGATATTTCGGTTGATAGCCCCCATTGATACTTTTCTGCGAATCTTTGGCAATTTTGGCTTTAATATGAGCCGGAATAAATTTGAAGAAGTGCACGATTCGTTGGAACGCTTCCGTATTCATGAGTAGTAACACAAAAAAATACAGACCAAATGAGGCAGACATTTCCAAGAGATCTTCCTGAATCCCCAACTTATCATTTCGCAAATAACTCTCATAGATGTTGCATTCTTTTGTAATACCATAACAGCATGGATTTGGCTCTTGTTTGCAAATATGTTCACGTTTACTCGGATTCATGTATTCCCAATTGAAATTAGCGACAAATTTCTTCGTGAATTTTGTACAAATATAGCTCAGAGTAAATTGCGGAAAGAAGACGATGAAAACATGCTTGAGACTCTTTGCAATGTTGATGTAATAATCATCGTTTGAAAACTCCATTGCTATAATAACAATTGTTGGTGTAACACTAGTGAAAATTCCAAGTGTTAGCAACAAAGAAAAACCTCCAGTCACAGTTTTCTTATGACTCAATAAATATGTGAAAGGGAGTGACGACACGACGTAAACTAAACAAATTATCATCAAAGTTTCTGAAAAACAACTGTTATTATATTTTAACACAAGGCGACAAAAAAAAGTCATGTCGGGACAACTTGACAAATTTTATATCATTTTGTTCGTCTCAGTGAGACAAATCAAATGCACTAATTTTTTTTTTAAAAAGTCCACACACTGGACAAAATAATTTTTTTGGCCTCCTGACATGTAAATGTCAAATTAACGTACAATTGACACCTATTGAAAGACTGTATTTACAGTCGCCTGAGCATTTTACGCACAGACGAGTGTAAAGTGACAGTTTTACCGCACTGCCAAAATTATCTTCATAGACTTTTATAAAAAAAAACTGTTTGTAAGATGATAACATTTTTAATAAAACGCTCTACACACAACCTTTCAATCTTAGAACTCTTTTTTCTT